AAACGCGCTTAAGAACCTCAAAATACCGAAATTTGGGGGTACCCTTATATGGGGGCTACCAGAAAAAATGGACTTATAATTACAATTTTTAGTGGAGATATTTGGTACCCAATAAGAACCCAATGTACCAAATTTCAGCGAATTCGGTTGAAAAAGTCAGTCTGGCTATATCGTCATAGAATTTTACGCTGATCAATAATATATATATACTTTATAGGAAATTATTATTTCGATGAGTTACAAACGGAAAAACAAAATTAATATACCCTCCATACTATAGTGGATGGTATAAAAAACGTTCCATTTGACTCCAAAATATCAGCCATTGGGTTGAGTATTAATTTTTCTTATTGTTTCTTAATAATTTCCGAATTTTTAAGAAATGAAATATTAAAAATGAGAATTATTTCATTTTTAGATTTTCGGGAGTTTTTTCATAATGAAATAACTCTCCAAATTTTAAAATAAAATAAATCCATAAAAAAATTAATAAGTCCCCACATATTGTTTTTTTTTTTTGTTTTGTGTATAAACACAAGCGGGAAGTTATTACATTTTTTGGTTTGGGGACTTATTTCGTAACGCCCACCTATAGGAATCGTCATATATTGACTAGTTGAATCGTGTGTCAATTATAATGGTATGGACCAGTTTATTTTTAGGGGATCAAATGTACCAAAAACTTAATTTTTTGCATGGTATAGGTGTCAAAAAATGTAATTTACTTTTTTTATTTAATTCGAATCTACAGAATGTCCCTACAAAATTTCAAGTGGAAATCTCAAGAACTCTTGAAGATATAGCAGATTTATTGTGTCCGATTTATTGTGACGGCAAGAGTGAATCTGAAGCTTTAAACGCATTTTTCTCGCAGCAGTGTTTTTACGAATGGCAGGCACGATAACTGAAAAACTAATAATCCAATCGGTTCCAAATTTTGACACGTTTCTCTGGAAGTGTATAGCTACCGTATGAACTAGGCTTTATCCTAGTGAAGAACTTCCTTATTTATTAACTTAGATTGTGGTAAAAAAAAATCAAAGGTCCGCCATTTTGTTAATTTTTAGGCGAAGTTAATAAACCTAGTTCATACGAAAGCCTGACATGTACCCTTTCTAACACCCTTAGAAATCCCGATGTTCCAGTGAGGAGGTATTATGCCCGCCATCAAAAATAATGACTTTTCTTTAATCACTAAAAACAACAACAACTAAATTTTGCAAATTATGTTTCTTCTCCTTTAAATCCTCAATTGTATATGTGTAATGTTAGAAACCTTAACACGCATTGGTATTTATTTACCAGTCCTAGACTGAGCCGTTCGTACCTCCATTTAATACGGAGGCGGGAAGCATCCGTCCATTTCTTCTGGTATCTCCCCACAACGAGTCAACATTTTGAAAATATTTAAATAAATATATAGCAAAGGGAATTTCCGATATGATGCAAACTTTGCATCGTAGATTAAGACAGAAGATGAGATCTATTGGTCCACTATTTCAGGTACCCTCTCCACAATGGGTCAAAACATTATATAAACCGAGTCGTCAAATTTGTGTGGTCTACAGCAAGTACATTTTAATATTTATATTAGAAATAGATTTTGTGAACTATCGGATACAAAGATAAATTTTATATATAGTTCCCACATACATTTTCTTCAGAGACCCAGAGTTAGGCCGATTAACACAATGTACTACAGTTAGTATAACGTAACGCGTGCAAAGTTTCGATGAAATCGGATCAGATTTAGATATAGCTTCCGTATATATATTCGTTCAATTTTAATAAATAGTGTACCAAAGACACAAAATAAGTATAGGCTCAACATTTTGCAAAACGTACTGAAGTAAGTATAGCCTAACGTATGCCAGGTTTGTTGAAATCGGTTCATATTTAGATGTAGCTCTAGTTCATATTTAGATATAGTATATTTTTCACCGATTTTAAGTAATATTTTGTCCGATTGCCACAAAGTGTTGAAAAAAAGTGCCGATGTTAGTATAGCCTAACGTATGTCAAGCTTTGTTGAAATCGGCTGAGATTAACATATAGCTCCCACATATATTTTCTTCCGATTTGAAGTAAATGGTGTACAAAGCCCCGAAATGCAAAACGTACTGATGTTAGTATAATCTAACTTGTGGCAACTTTCGTTGAAATGGGTTGAGATTTCGATATAGCTCCCATATATATTTTCATCCGACTTTACGTAAACTATTGTTTGTCAAATTGACACAAAATTTTGAACAGTGTATAAAAATGAGGCTAACATTGCGTTATTGCGTTGTAGAAATTAGTGCAGATGCATATTAATTGTGCACCAAATAATCAATGGGTGTCCGATTGATATTTGCTTTAAATGGACGTTCATAATTCTGTTCCATTGTAAACAAACGACTTTAAATCTGTCACCTGTTGATTCTGCCTAAAGTGGTAAAGAGTATCATATACTAGTCTCGTTTCTGCTTTTATTGTTTTTATATCCGTCTCCACACTGTGGTACAGGGTATTATGTCTTCGTGCATATGTTTGTAACAGGGAAAAGGAAACGAGATAGACACATGGTTCCTTTTGAGAATATGCATAGAATCACTTTCTAAGTCGATTTATGCATGTCCGTCCGTCCGTCTGTCTGTCTGTCCATGTTAAATTGTAAACAAAGTACAGGTCGCATTTAGGATCCGAATTGGATGAAATTTGGCATAGGTCACTTATTTGGCCCAAGGACGATTTGAACGAACCCTATTGAAATTGGAGAAAAATCAGTTCCGATTTAAATATAGCCCCTATATATATATATATATATATATTTAACCGATTTAGAATTACGTAGTTGCATTTTCTAGAAGTACAGACATAGCCCAACGGATGACCTATTTATATTTGTTTGAAGTCGATTTACATACTTTATGGATAGATCTAGGTAGATTCACATTTAGATAAATATCACATATTTTATTTCATCCAATTCCATGTTAATAGTCCTGTTTAATATACCCATAGTGGTGAAGAGTATCATATAGTCGGCCCCGTCCGACTTTACTACTTTCCTTACTGGTTTTTTTGAGACATTAGATTTTTCAGAAACTCACAGACCAAATTTAAGGCCATCCTTCTATTATTTGATAAATGAAACATGGAAATTATGGAACTACACTGTAGAATAATACATACCTACAGATATATACATACTTGCTTAATTTCCAAATGTTAGCTCTATTTGATCATAATATGTGAATTCCAATTTTTATACATATTTAGTACGATTTGTCCATGATCTATAATCGATCGATCACCGATCACTCAATACAAATGTTACCATTGACCCTTTTTAAAAATGTCATGATTTGAAATAGGGGAGATTGGGGCACATTCGGCACTTTTTGTTTAGAGCTCTATATCTCAGTAATTATAGTTTTTTCTATCGCATTTTCGTCAATAGAAGCACGTTTGCTCTTATATATGTAATTTGGAGCCATATTAAAGAATTATTTTTAAAGATAAACGCAAAAACATGTTAAGGAAATAATTTTGCACTATCTGCATATGAGCGAATGTGCCCCACATTAAAATGTCGAATGTACCCCGAAGGTACTTTTTATAGATATTTTCATTTTCCCTATCAATCTTCTAAAAACATTATATTTGTAATTATTTTTATAAGTCGTGGTAAATAGCGATGTACTATATCAATCCATGAACAGACCACAAATCGTACTCTTTAAAACTCCTAATAGAAGTCAATAGTCTTATAACTATCCAAGTCCTAACCTATTTCATTTTGTACCAATTTTTCCAAACTATCCAAATCCTAACCTATTTTCAACCAAATTTGCCCAACTATATCAAACCAGTATGCAATTGACCGCTTAAAACCACAATTACAAAATAATAAAATAGGCCAATAGCAAATAATGAAAACACAACTAAAGAAAAAATAAAAATAAAAGAAAATGCAAAAAGCAAAAAGCTAACTCAACTGTGGCGGCTGCATGTTATGAAAAATAAACCTGTGATACAATGGTCAGTTGAAGAAATTGAAGGTCTAGTGTGAAATAAAAGCATTTTCTTGTTTTGTTTTCTTTTTGGCCATTGTGGTAGTCTTGTGAAAACTGCACACACTCAAACACACACATTGTGTGTTTTCTTCTAATATGCCCACAATCAAACCGTGCCGTATTTGAAAGCATTTACATTTAATTAAAGCTTTACACAAACAAGAGCTTAAGTTATGACGTCACAAACACAACCTGGCTGGTAGTAAAGCTTCAAATAAGCCACACGATCAGGTAGCAAAAAATCACTTTCAATATTAAGCGGCAGCAACCAAATACTGAAAACAAACACACACATACGCATACAGGTGCAAAACCATCATATTAAAACCAGACTTAATACGTTTTAGCCAGACAGCCAGTGTTTTGGGGGTTTTCAGTTTTGTTGTGATTTTTTGTGAGGCTGCTTTTTTGCCATTGCTTTTTCACTTTTTTGTGTTTTGTTTTTGCTGCCTTTTCGTCTTTTGTATTTTGCGTTTGCCATCTGTGTTGCTGAAGTCGAGAAGGCTTTGCATTTTGTCTTAACAATCACAAAAGTTTTTTACGCTCATGAGAGCGGACGTGTAAACGCGGCTAATAGCAACCCAACAAAACATATCCAACCCCCTTGGTTTTTTTAAGAAAAATTACAACAAATTATAAACATCGTTTTTTCAACGTGCAATTCGATTATTTTTTTCTATTCTAATGCAAACAACAACACCAACAACTTAATACAATTTTTTCGAAATTACAACAAAACTAAGAAAAAGAAAAAATTAACAACGTTAATTGTTTTAATGTTGCAAATAATTTAGAAAAAGAAACAAAATATTAAAGTGAAAAAAATTACAAAAAAGATCTAAAATAACACAAAACAAATTAGTGTGAGAAAAAAAAATTATTAAAAATTTAAAAAAAAGCGAAAAAATATATTTTTTTTTAAAACTTAAACCCCACAAAAATTCCTCCAGAATCTTTCATCATGGTTGAAGAAAATAACAACACAAAAGCTTCAGAAAATGGCCATTTGGCCAATGCCGCCACTCCATTGGCGATGGCCGGCAAGGCTACTCCTTTGACTTTCTATGAAAATATGAAAAGTTGGGTGGAAGCCATTGCCGATGTAATGATGTTTATATTATGCTCCATTGGCTTTATTTTAAAGGTGAGTAATATATTTCGAGTGTGTGTTTTATTTCAAATGAGTTATATATTAATTTGATATTCATATATGTTGAAATATCGTCTGACCATAAAAAAACTGTCCGAAAATGGTGTTGTGCCATTCGAGTTGGATTTTATTTTTATAACCATTTGACTACACTGAGCCAATTATAATTTTATAAATAGCCATCACACTTGAATTGTAATGTTAAACTTGTGAAAAAAATATAATAATATACACAAGATAAAACCTTGACATTTAGCAACTTAAAAAAGTCGGTTATGAACATATGTGATATACACCGAAACAATGAAAGGAATGGAAATGCACTAGGCTTAAGTGGGGAATTTTTGCATGTAAAAATTATTCTAAAAAATACATATCGAAACACTCCTTTATGAAATTATGCGAAAACTACCCCAAAACACTCTGAATATATCTATAATTTAGTTTTTATACCCTGAGCCTTATAAGCTAATGAGGGTATATACGCAATATTGGTTTTAGATTCCATGTTTCTTTGGACCAAATCCATTTCAGAAAATTTGGATTCGAATTACAAATGTTCGTCCGTCTGTCTGGCTGGCCGGCGACACGATAAGTTCCACTTCGTAATATTTTTATCAAATTTACCTCCTTTTGGTACCTCCCCACAAAATGGTAATTTTGCTAAAGCTTAATTTTATAATATCAATCGAACGGACTATTATGTTTGACAAGCCTAGATCTATTAAGGTAAGGTCCATCTATTAAGATGGGACCTTATCTGTTATCTTTATCAAGCCTAGATCAAATTCGAAGATGGGACCCATTGGTCTACTTCTTCTGGTTCCTCGCCCAGAAATGATCAACGTTTTCAATATTTATAAATCCAATATTAGGCGACCGAAATGTCCAAATTGAAACAAACTTTGCACAACCTGTAACCTTTACCAAGCCTAGGTCAAGTCCAAAGATGATATCGAATGGTCAAGTTCTCTCCTAGAAAGCATCAATATTTTATAAACTTACAAATTTTATGAAATTGTGTAGCAAATTAAATAACCGATTTGATCTGAAACCTCTTAAAAAAAAAACATACCATATGTAAAGCGATTAACAAAACCTGTGTAATTCCGAAGACCTCCGTACACCATAAGCTGATGGTATATATCTGTCGCCAACACCAACTGACACTTGTTTTCTTGTTGTAATAGAAAGTTAGGAAAGAATGTCAAAACCCGATGTCAATGTAAATGTAAACTTAAAGTATTTTACCATCTGAGGAGATTACAGGTTGATCCTAAAATTAACATTTAATTCACCTTATTAGTACCTTAGATAGAATTATAAATTAAACATGAATTAATCGGGGCTGCATAGTCCTATTATATTACTGCATAACAAAAACCAGTAAAAACAGTAAAGTCGGACTGGGCCGACTATATGATACCCTTCACCACTTTAGGTATACTCTACACATGTATCCTAACAGACGTCGCTTTATCGAAGGAACATTGTCATGAAATTGAACGAACTTAAATATGCGATCTTTATCAATAAGTGAAACGACAATCAAACAACAATCCATACACATGCCTTTCTGCAACTTATGCTAAATTTTATTTCATTCGGAAAGATTTTGGGTCGTTTTCGTACAATGGGAAAAATTTATGTAAATCGATTTAAAGGAAAGTTGATACACGCTATTCGTTATGACGCACAATTTACATAAAATCGGACCAAAATTTATATGGGTCCTATATCTAAATCTGACCGATTTTTCCCAATTTCAAAAGCTGTGCCAAATTTCAATTCAGTGCACTATGTGCAAATCGAAAGATGTATAGGGACTTTGGTGCACCATTTACATTGTATCGGACGAAATTTTATATGGGTGATACACCTAAATCTGGACCAATTTTTTCCAATTTCAAGAGCTGTGCCAAATTTCATCCAATTTAGATCATAAATGCGACCAGTATTTTGTTTACAATTAAACATGGATGGACGGACGGACATGCATGAATCGACTCAATATGATCAATTTCCAATACCAGTAATGATAATATGTCCATTTTTTAACTAATGACAGAGCAGTATAGGCGGACGAGGCCGACCATATGATACCCTACATAATTATCACTGAGCTCTAAACTTCTGCGGATCTATATTCCGAGCCGGGCAACATTTCGCTATATTTGCACTCTCTTGAGCGACTAGAGTTCAACATAGGGATACGTAAATTGATTTTCGAATAGTCTATAAATCGACTTTTTGCATTGAAAAGTCTAAAAGTCGAAGTCGACTTTTGATCTTTGAGGAAATCGCAGGGTCGAATTTCTCTTCGAGAGTTATTATCTCAAAGCCGAATTACTCAATAATTACACTTTGTAATTTATCTGTTGACAATAATTAATTACAAAAATTAAATTTTTAATCGATTTTGCATTGGTCGTAAAAGTCAAAAATCGAAGAGACGATTTTTAGTCGAAGCCAAATATCGAAAAGTTTAAAATTCGACTTTTTAGTCAGCGAAATCGAAATGTTCAAAAAAGGACTTTCGTCCTCGACTACGTATCCCCACTTCAACGGCTTCTCCGCAGGATCATTTCATTCCTGAAATATCAACTGATACTTATCGAAAAGTATAGGCGCCGTTCATGCAAAATTTGGTAGCCCTCTAGTGTGGTAGTGGTAATACTAAATAATTTCAAAAATACATAGACACATGTAAATATATAATTTTAACCCCAAATACAAGTACATACATCAATATAACGGGTTCAAACTTATCCTGCCTACGTACTTGGTAAATATATATTCCATAGAACAATAATTTTGTAATTTTTACACAAATGTCTTGGTCCATTTGACTAGCCATACTTGTTCAGATCCCCATACTCCATGTAAAATATTGTGATGTTCGGGTCATTGTTGTGACCTCTAGAGCAAAACAAACCAAAAATATGGGTTTTGTTTCATTTGATCCCCTAAATGTATAAATGTCGACTTTGGTTACCATCGAATCTACATTAATTTTTTTTGACGAACGGAACTACATACAAATTTCACCTCCATAACTGCGATATATAATTTGATTACAAGTTATAATGGACAGATGGGCGGACACACATAGAGGTCGGTGTACTAAAGGTTGGGTCTAGGACCAATATATCTTGAGACATACATAGCAATAATATACGCTTTAAGACCTTTCACCTGGAAAAGGCTTTTTATAAAGACGGAGGATTGTAAATATCAAAAAACACGATTAAAAATTACAGTAAAAAAATATTTTTTTTTTACTTTTACGTTTAACAGTATCCATTTGGGATAATCACGATTTTGGTATATATGTCAAACTTTGCTCTTGATGGTGTAAAGACTTCCTCGCAGAAAATTGTTAATATCAGTCTATTCTTCTAAATATTTTGTATTTATTTCCAAATTATGTTGTAAAAAACGTAAAATAAATTTCCCGAAGTGTACCAATTCAAATTATTCTGTAGCCAAATTAGAGCTGTCATATCATATTCGAGAGGAGTTACGGCAACCCTGTCGGGAAACCAAATAAAAGATATTTAATCCGTAACTTAGTCATTTCTATTTAAATGTATTTACAAATTTTATGCTAATTGTTTTGAATTCATTTTCCCCAGATTCATACACTTTCTTCACAACCTTTTTGACTATCAGGAATGGATGCTGCCAAAATATTTGCATTTCGAACTAATGGTACTATTTTTGCAAAGTTATGTATGATTTTTTTTCATCTGATTAAAGCCCTTAAAAAGTGTGGACTAGAACTCTAGAACTGTGATACCCTTACTGAATTGTATGAAAAGAGTAAAGAGTTCATACAATAAGTCCAAATATCCAATACAATATAGGATAACAACTATGATTAAGGGCTTACTCACAATTATTGAGAGGACAAATGATTTTTTCCGAAATTTGATTAATAATTCTCTAAATGGATAAATTAATAGCTACTAATATACTAGCCTCAAGCCAATACAATGGAACAACAAACCTCCTGGCGTAGTGTACGAATAGAACAAATATAACAAAAACAAATCAAATATACAGCAGCTCAAGCATAAATGTTCTACAAATAAACAATCACAATTAAATATTTTTATTCATTAATACATCTTTTTAAATTCTATTTGTTTTTTTAACAACAATTGTTTACGTTACTCAAACATAATAAAATAAAATTTCAATTAAGCGTAAATACAAATTGCAGAATCAATTAAATATTAAACAAAATATAGATGTTATGATGGAACAATGACCTTCACAATGAAAGACTTAGAAAACAAACTTTGTTGTTCTTAGTTCCGAATAAGAAAAAAAAAATTAATAGCCATTAATGACGACACTGTCTAGCGGGTTGAGTTACTTCCTTAAAAATAAAAAAAAAATATAAAAGAATTTGGAATCAAAAATGAAGAGGTTCTTGTGAAATCATATATATATATATATATATATATATTAATATTTGTTTGTTGTAGAATCTTAAATATACATATATTTTTATTGACATTTAGTTCTCATATTGATTCATATTATATAGATTTTTCTATTTTTTTTTTCGTTTTTATCGTTCCTTGTTTGAACTTGAATATTTCTATGAATTATGTATTTTACCATAGTCAAGATGATCGGATTGTTGACCTTCAATTTTTTTATTTCTAATGCCCACAAAGCGTTATATTCCTTTGGTTGGACAAAAAAACAAGTTAAATTAGCATAATATGTTAATTGATTCTCTAAATTGATTAATACACTAAAATAAAAAAAAAAAAATAAATTTCGATTAATCTAAGACTCATATGATAACCATACGTAACTTTTAAGTTAGACATATTTAGCAGATTTGAATTTTTAAAGAACCTATTGGGCACAGGGAATATTAAAACCGTGATTGTTCTAACTTCTCTCGTATTAATATTCATTATGGTGCAAAGACTAATCCCGCTCATTTTTAGGACAGAAAGAAATGCCAAATTACG